ATCAAAGGTATGATAATACGAAACGGAAGTTTTACAGAGCTTCGTTTTCGTAATTTTTACGAAACTAATGGTATCTATTTTTTGTTGTTATGACATTCATTAAGATTTCAACACGTGCGTATGATAGTCAAAATTTCCTTAGTTTGTTTGTTTGTTTGTAATTAAGCACAAAGCTACACAATGGGCTATCTGTGCTCTGCCCACCACGAGTATCGAAACCCGGATTCTAGCGTTGTAAGTCCGCAGACATACCGCTTTACCACTGGGGGGCAATTTCCATAGTAAGTTGATTTAAACTTCAAGCCTTGAAATGTGTTGTAGTAATTATTAGTGTAAGGCAGCATTCTTATTGTTTTTTTATAATATTATAACAAACAAATAATAAATAATATATAATTATTTGTTATAATAACGTATCACGTTATTTTATATACACAGCCTGGTCACAAGTAAATAGACACCACCTTTTCAGAAAAAATGAAAGTTTTTAGTCATATTCACATGAATTGATATATTTATAATTTAATTAATATCTATATAATAACTCCGCTTCGTGGAGTTCGTTGATCCTTTGGGGCATCGTGAGAATCATCTCGTCAATTTTAGATTGTGGGATGTTCGCCCACTCTTGCTTCAAAACTTGGAGTAAATCGCTCTTCAAAGTTGGTTTTTTTTGTTGTTTATTGACTTGCCGATCGAGTATGGCCCAGAGGTTTTCGATGGGGTGCATGTCAGGAGATTGACTCGGCCAGGGCTACTTCTGGATACCATTTTCTTCCTGCCACTTTTGGGTGTTTCTAGCAGTATGACACAATGCCCCATCTTCCTGGAACAACGTTGTGTACTTGACAACGAAACCCGAGGAATAAAGTGGCAAGAGTCTTTCCTCCAATATTTCGACGTATTTCGCAAAATTTATGTTATCAACGCACTCCACTAATCTCGATCTCCCACCAACCCAAACAGCTCCCCAAACCATCACGCTGAAACCACCATGCTTCACAGTTGGCTGCAATCTGTTGAGCCAAAACTCTTGGTGAGGCATTCTCCAGACCTATATCCTTCCACTGTCTGAAGATTGAGCGAATCTTGATTCGTCTTAGAACAATACGGTCTTCCAAAAGTCCAGAGGCTTGGTCATCATATCACTTGCCCACTTCTTTCGTCTGACTATGTTGGCAGGTCTTAATAAGGGCTTCCGTCTAGCTGCTCTGCAACGATAACCCAATCTGTGGAGAATCCGTTGATCAGATTTCGGGCTCATCCCACCAACTTTGGCCACTTCTGCAGCCGTTAATCTGGAATCCATTTCGATGCTCCTCTTGACAGCCCTTTTTGTCCTCTCCGATGGACCAGGACGACCCGGACGCTGCTCAGTTGTTTCCTTGCGTGTTTCCTGAACTGAACGACGATTCAGTTGACTGTCGAAAGCGGGATTTCC